ATCCCAATCCAGATCCCATCAACATTCTTTATGTATATGGAAAAACCAATCACTAACTTTATATGGAAAGGAAAGAAACCTCAGATAAGCAAAGCACTATTGAAGAAGAAGAACAAAGAAGGAGGTCTCACATTGCCAGATCTCAAATCCTACCATACAGCCACAGTAGTCAAAACTACCTTGTATTGGTACAATGACAGACACATAGACCAATGGAATAGAATTGAGAACCCAGAAATAGATCCATCAACCTATGGTCAGCTGATCTTTGACAAAAGACTGAAATCCATTAAATGGAGGAGAGATTGTCTGTTTAACAAATGTTCTGGCAAACTGGATATCTATTTGCAGAAAAATGAAACAAGATCTGTACACAGCATACACAAAAACTAACTCCAGATGGGTCAAAGACTTAAAATGTGAAACCTAAAACTATAAAGTTCCTCAGGGAAAAAATAGGGGCAAATGTAGGGGGCATAATTTATGGCATAAATAGATTTTCAAGCATAACCAAAATGTACAAACAGCCTAAGAGAAACTAGATGAAAGGTACCTTCTAAAAATTAAATTTTAATGTGCTTCCAAAGACTTCTCCAAAAGAGGAAAAAGAAAACCTCCAGATTGGGAAAACATATTCAGCAATGACATATCTGACAAGGCACTTATCTCTAAAATTTATAGAAAACTCCAACACCTAAACAACAAAAAGACAAATAATCCAATTAAAAAATGGGCAGAAGTCATCAATAGATGCTTCACCAAGAGGATATTCAGGTGGCCAGAAACACATGAAGAAGTGTTCACGATCATTAGCCATTAGAGAGATGGAAATCAAAACAACAATGAGTTACCATCTTGCCCCAGCACTAGTAGCAAAGTTCAACGAGACCCCTTCAAACCTCACTGCCCTTGAGTCGGATCCAACTCATAGTGACCCCTCCTTGGTTTTCCAAAGTGCTACGGAAGTAGATTGCCCAATCTTCCTTCCGAGGAGTGGTTGGTGGGTTTGAACTGCCAACCTTCTGGTTAGCAGTCAAATCCTTAGGCACTGGCAAGGATGTAGAGAGAGTTGGTTTCTCATACACTGCTGGTGGGACTGTCAAATGATACAACCACTTTCCATAGAAAGCAGTATGGCAATTCCTTAAAAAGCTGGAATTAGAAATACCATTTGACCCAGCCATTCCATTATTTTGTTGTTGTTGTTGTTGTTATGTGCCGTTGAGTCGGACCTGACTCATAGCGACCCCTCCTTGGGTTTCCAAGGCAGTATCACTATGGAAGTAGATTGCCCCATCTTCCTTCTGAGGAGTGGCTGGT